TTACAGGAGAAACCCAGTAGACCAAAATTAGCCAGACAGGGACTTCCACTACCTTTAACCTTCTGCCTGTCATTTGCTCCAGCAGGTTGGGAATTTTTCCAGCTAGCCTTCTTTCTCAGAAAATGATCATTTGCTAAAACTGAAACAGGTCCCAGGAAAAGACAGGTTGCCTTAGATTTCCCAATTTGAAGAGTGTGGGGAAATAAAGTAAAACCACTTCAGAATAGTTGAAATCTTAAGTTTTGACCTTTTCACATTTAAAAGTTTTGCTTTTATGTTAGGGTTTTGTGTTAATTTGTAGTACAAAAAAAAAATAAAACCTTGACATCAAACCTAAACAGTTCATGATGGTTAACATGAATTATTTTAATTGATCATATACAATGTGTTTATTTGGTATTTTGATTTAATACAATTTGCTTAACAACATTTTTGGGATTTTGACTGTTTGGTCTTTTGAGGAATCTGGAATCCTCCCATGAGAACATTTTCTACTAGGTCTGTTATTTACCTCTGGGTAAAGCGGCTGTGAAGTGATACCCAATCAGAATACCCTGTGCTATCATGGTATCACACATACCCTGCTGTAAGTGATACTGATGTAGCGTTTTCATTTTGTTTTACCCAGGTGTAAATAGAATAGTCAATTTGATCTCACGCTTACACAAACCAGAAGTAAGATTATTGCCACCAGGGTAGCCCCATTCATGTAATGTAGGCAGGAGCTTAGAAGCAGGCCCAACCTTATAGGTATTGTTTGTTTCTTTATGTGAGCATATTATGGCACTGTGTAGCAACTTCCTCTTGTGGAAATGACACCCAAGGTTCTAAGGAAGAATGAGACGTTGTGGGAACTCGTTTGCTGATTATAGGTGCAATATAAAGTGCTCGGTTAGTGCTGTCTCGGAAAGGTTACTCTGTTGTAGAAGTTTCTTCTTGTAACAATAACGAATGCTGCCCTTGCACACAACTACCACTCAAGCCAAAAGTGCTGCCTATATTTTCCAAACTGACTAGGCATTTTTGGTGTCTCATTTTTTCAGGCACCCATTCTGGGACATCTGCTGGTTTTTGGAGAAGTTCCTCGGCACAGCCAGTAATTGAGGCACAGTAAAATTTCTCTCTTCCATTGAAATCTTAGACCCAGTGTAGCTTCCGTTGTGCTTATGCCGTGAGCGCTTTTTGTGGGGAGTGAGTGTTGCTTCTACAATAACAAGGAAACCCAAGAGCAAGAGAGACGTCATGGTGACAGAAAGAAGACATGATGATGAGAAGTTTAACCACAAAGAGGACCAGTTTTAGCTTGGTACTTAGTTGTTTTCAGCATAGGCAATTGGGTGCAGTACCTCATCAGAGAAAATGCAAGAGAGCTAGATGGAGTGATCCAAAAACAAAAAAAACCAAAGGGGTATTTTTTCTAACCTCAGTTTTTTCTACTTCACAAGCATAACCACAGCACATTTCTGCATCCCTTCTGCAGGCTCCCAGGAGAGCAGCTGCTCAACTGTAGTGGAGGCTTTCTCAGTATCCTTGTACTTTCAGCTTCTCTCTTCACAATTTCCTCCTCTTTCAGAGTGACATCCTCCAGCATGTTTTGTAGTTAGCGGCTGCTGTGAATCACTTCTAAATGGCAGACAGCCATCAAGATCAATTCTTGCACTGGGAGCTACTCTCCAGCTTATTTTGTGTTTCTGGGTTATATTTGTGCTTTCACATTGCTTTTTCGCTTTTCTTCGTTCCAAGGAAAACAAGTTAGTGAAAGAAATTAAATTGTAACTAATGGTGCCAAGTTAGGTGGTTCTGCAAGATTTAAAGGTCAGAAGATTTACAAAATCAGAAGCCTCACACTGTATAATGAGATTCAGAGGTCTGCACTGTTGTACAGTTATCATGTGAATTAATTTCAAATATCCTTGTGATACATTGCAGTTTATTAAGGGATGTCATGCAATAGTCCCGCATCTCCTGTTTGATAAACTGGTGAAATTCCATGGACGTAAATATGGTTGCACTACTAGAACAGAGCATTGTACCTGGCTACATAGCACATCATACCAGGGGAGTACAACTTCATTCACAGTCTGATGGGCTTCCTTGAAAATGATCCATATCAAACCAAATATTCAGATGTAAGTGATTACACATGCTTGCTCAAATGCACCAGCTATACACCCCAGACTCTCTACCTTTATGCACAAACTGGGTGCTTCCATTTTCACATAAACAGGGGATTGTACATTTGTGTATGAGGTGGCTGAACTTTGAGAACTCACCACAATGAATGGTTCTGAAAATGAGTAATAGTAGTGGGGCCAGACTGTCAGCCCTGCTGCAGCTGCTTTATCTTTTCTGATTGCTCAACCAACTAGTTAGAGAGTCCTGTGATGCAAAGAGTTGTTTAGGTAGCACAGCATTGCTGTGCTGGTTCATTAAGCCCCCTTCACTCTTGTAGGGGCTCAGTCATTGATCCCACAGGTCAGTGTAGAAGGCCTGTGGAGAGAGATATAGGCCAACAGTTCTTCCTCAATGGGTTTGTCTACACAAGATGCTTTACTGCACGTTAGACCAATCTAATACACAGTAAAGCATCACCATTTACACATGTGCAGCAATTATTGTGCAGTATTAGTCTAATGCACCATTTTCTAGTACTTGTAGATACAGATACTAGAAGAACAGTTCATTAATTAATGTGCGGGACTGTATGTGTAGGTACTGACCCGTAGCAAATTGCTCCCAGTCAGCCTAGGTGGCAGGGGCCACGGGGTGGGGAGAGCTGTCCTGACTGGGTGGAAAGCTGCCTGCCAGCAGTGTGGAGATCCAGACATGTCCCCATCTCCATGTGGCTGGCAGAGCTGTCCTGGCTGCCAGGAAACTGCCTCCCTGCCCCGTGGAGATCAGGGCAAGATTGGGACAGGTCTGGATCTCCATGGGGCAGGAGGCAGTTGCCTGGCAACCAGACAGCTCTCCCTGCCCCACAAAGATTGGGACCAGCCTCCATACCCCCTGCCAGCCCAGAGCCTGGCATCCAGGGGACCCTGGAGCTCTCCCTGGCTACTGCAGGGGAACAGAGCAGGACGGGAGCAGCCCTAGACTAAACTGCTCCTGTCAGGAGCAGGGCGCTTCCAACAGGCACATATTCAGATTTGCGTGGGGGTGCAGTTTAATGCACCTGAACTTTCTGCACAGAAAATTTAGGCGCATAAATAGCACGTGTAGACCTGCCCAGTAACACCAAGGACTGGATCAGACTCCTGCCATCCCCAGTATCAGTGCAGGTGAGTCAGATAAGCATCAATCCTCTTTTACACTTCTGTGCCAAGCAAAGCTCATCTGGAGAAGCAGCCCATCAAGTTTTAATTCTCTATCATATATGTATGTTATAATAAGTGTATTTTGAAATCATCTCTACCCCTATGAGAGAATGTAGAGTATAGTGTGCTGAAACCAGTTGTAGAGAGACATCTGGCCACTGGGCTGAAATTCAACAGCTCTGATAACATCAGCAACCAAAATACATTTTTCTCAGGAGCACGTGGGTGTCAGGAAACACCAGTAAGGCAGTTGTCAGAGGCACTGTTATAGTTTGCTCAGTTTGTGAGTCCACAAAAGAGAGATGCTTTCCAGTCCCAAGGACACAGGTGAATCACTGGTTGAAGAAGCCTGTCATGGAACACTTTCTGCTCATGTATGGACAGTCTGAGTAAATGTGTGATTCAGCGGTTACCTATTGTGTACTGGCAACATGGAAGAGTGTGGGTAGCTGCTGATGCTAACATCTGGTCACCCTCTGACAGATTTTTCTACTGCATCCCCCCAACAAAGCATAGACTCCCTCCTGAAACACGTGCTGTCCGGCTCATCCTGCTTTCTCCCAATATGGGTTCCCTAAACATTCTTCTCTCTTTCCCCTTTCAGGAAATAATGCCATAAGCCTTTCAGCTGTGTTGCTCTGTATATTTATCATTCTTTTGTCTGTCCTTCTGAGATACTTCTGCTTTGAATCCCCCATTAAAACTTTCTTTTTCTCTTTATGATGTATGGCCAATAATAGGAAAAGGCTTAGTCCTGTAAGAGATGTTCCACTCTAACAAAGCACTTAAGGAAGCAGTTAGTGTGCAATGTTAAAAGTACTAAACATGTGCTTAAGCAAGTGCATTGATGAATTAGGTGAGGGCATTCAGCACCTTTGCACATCTTTTTCTTTAAATGTATTTATATGGGTAGTTAAATGAGATTAAATTGAAGACTGGTACAAGCTCATTTGTTGCACTAAAATGAAAATGAAATGTAATCTAATTACCTTAAATCACTTGTACACAATATAAAATACATGGATGGTTGATGCCCTGCTTCATTTGAATCAGTGGAAGAAAGAAAAAAATCTTATGAGAGAATTATCCATATTAACATTAATGTAATTGTACTAGAAGTCTGAAGAGTGTGAAACAGCATAGGAGATTTGGGGTCCAGCCAGAACATTCAAACCTGGCTTTCTAAAGTCAGTCATCTAAATCCTACATTTGAAAGTGAGACCCAAAAGTTCCACTTGAATCATGTATTTTTAAACAATTGCTTTAATGTTTTTGTGAACCTTGTGATTAGTTACTCTTTTTAGATGTCATGGTGTTCCTTGTTGGAAGTGGTGTGCAGACAGTCAAATAAAACCTTCCATTTTCAGTGCTGGAGAACTCAAAATTCATTTTCGACCTGTCTTCTAAAGACTCAGTTTAGGGACCAGATGATCATCTGGTGTATGCTGAGGTAGGTGCCTGGAAGCCAAAGGAGCTATGCCAGATCGCCACAGTTGGAGTTTTGGCCCCATGGTCTTGCCCCTTAAATATCACATATTTACATCTGTTATCTCCTACCCACTTTAAATAGGGAAGCACAAGTAAGCACTTTAATCTTTTACAACTGTCTGCGAATCATTATTTCAAGCCTGTCATCATTTAATTTATTCCCCTCTTGCCCTTCCCCCTTTTAACTTTTCCCTTTAGCACTCCAAATATCCCTGGATATACTGGCAAGGTTCATTGGACAGCAACCCACCCGGCAAATTCTAATCTTCCATCAACATCCCCTTCAATAATTGCACGAATGCATGGGTAAGTATGAGGCGTATTACTCAATTTGTTCAGAAACGTTAGAGGAAAAATCCTAATTATACTTATTTCATTAAAGAACAATTAAATATTAAGCATGACATTTCTTTGGTTTAAGAAACAATACTGGAGTCAGATCCCATCATGTATCTGCTGAGATGATCAGAGACTGGTTTTTAGGATTTCTTTGAAACTTTTGACAAGGTGCATTGAAATGTACATTTAATGCTGCAGGAAATCAAGGTTTCTTAAACAGTAGTTGTTTCTATTTTATTCCTTTAGAGATGCTGGCTACATTGAGTCCCCTGTGTGTTCTGGAATTCTTTGGACTTTTTACATTTAATGGTGCTAAATATGAGGTTATGCTTGCTTAGAGATGTAAAGCCCTCTTGACATGGATGATTTCTGTACAGAAAACTGTCATTACTTCGTATTTCCCTTTTATACCAGGTTTATCATTATAGCAGTATCTGAGGCCCAGATTTTCAATACATATTTAGGCACATCATTCCCACTGTTGTCAGTGGCAGTAAGACCCAAAATGTTTTTTTTTAATCTGTGCACCCACATCTTACAAAAACATTTTCATTACAGTTCCTCTAGTTGCTCTGTGCCTAGCCCTTTCTCTCAGAAGCAGCTAACGAGTTACTTATCATTTTTTGTCCCATTCCTTAAGTGCTGTTATATTGTCTATCCAGACCTTGAATATTCTTTTTTTTCCCCATTGTAAAGTAAGACTCAGTGACATCACCAGAAAGCCCACTACTTCGTAAGGCATTCTTCTTTTTTTAAACCACCTTTAATTTTAATTGTCATTAGGAGAATATCTGCAATAGATGTCATCCTTTTCTCTGTGCTACCAGTGTGCAGTGTCCTAAATTATTCACAAGCCTTAGGAAGCTGACTAATAGTAGTAGGCATCTATCTGTCTGTCTCTCAAGACAATAGAATTATGCCAAGTAAGACGTCAGCTCGCTGAACGTAATCCTCGCTTGAAAGGTAAAGCGAAGCAGGCTGGCTACTAAAGAATTCACCTACCTACCAAAGTAATTCATTGGTGTGCAGAACACCCTGGATTCCATATACACTTCCTGCACTCCTTTGCACCTCTGTTCTGTTCCCATACAGCTGTACCTGGACAACAGGCATTCACTGGTAATAGCAGTTTCCTGGTTATAAAGACTGAAAATATGTGGCAGTGTCTTGGGGTTTTACGGGCTTCTCAAGCTGAACTCAAATCATCTTGATGTGAGCCTGTGGTACTTTTAAATGTCGTGTGCAAAAAAAAGATGCAGATGTGCCTCAGCAGACATTATTGGTAGCATTCAGACAATACCTGATTTCAAGAGCAAACTGTCAGATGCCAATGTGATCTAAAGAAAAGGAAAATATGTCTGTCCTTTCCTTTGACTTCACTAGGGGTATCAAGTAAATGCAGTGAACAGTGGATGGATTTTTTTCCCATAATGTGGGGTGCCTGTAGAATCAGGGCAGTGTCTTGTGACTTTTTCCTAGGACCATGTATGAGAAATGTGAAACTGGGAGACACATGCCCAGTGGACCAAATGTATTTCCCTGGGAATAGGAGCACTGATTTTAACATACTACAGTTGCATGTTATGCTCACTGAGATACTCGTTCACTGTGAGTGGAGATTGCTGCAATATTTATAGCCCTGTTTGAAACAGCAGTCTAAGTATAAGTGAGGCCCTTTGAGGGCTGTGTTTCCTCCATGGTTAATTTTTCATGTGGAGGGCAGGGCTGAGCTGGTGCCCATCCCCATCCCCCAGGCTCTCATGGGGCAGGAGAGGGAGCTGCTGGCTGCTGAATAGCCAGAGCTGGGGAAAGGAGGCGGGGAATGGGGGCCCCCTGTTTTTTGTCCCCCCAGCCTACTCCAGATGGGGGAGTTGAGTTGGGCCCCCAAGGCAAGGGGGATCCATTCCCCCCACCAGCTCTGGCCAGTGAGCAGCCAGGAGTAGCCAGCATGGAGCTACTGGCTGCTGAATGGCCAGAGCTGAGGGTTGGGGGAATGGAGCCCTCTAGCCTTATGGGCCCTACCCAGTACCCCAGCCAAGGTAGCTGAGGTGGGTCTATGAGGCGCAAGAGCCCCATTCCCTGCACCTCTTCCCCACCCCCCCTGTTCTGGCCATTCAGAAGCCGAGTTCCCCTGCTGACAGCACTGGAAGTAGGTGAGGGGGAGGGGTTGGCAGCATCCTGGGAGGCTGCTGGAGTGCCCCCACCTGCTGGCCTATGCTGGTACAGGCTGGCTCCACCCTGCTTCCCCCTGCACAACAAGCAAATGTCTGTTAGGCTGCAGGGATGGGCTCTAAATCATGGTACTTTATGCAAAACACCGTTAATTATACTGGAGCCCTAACATCTGTCTGCACCCTTAGAGGCAACACAGGAGCATCTGTAGGCTTCTGTTAAATGATAATTATAGTAATGATTTTAAAAAGATGATTCTAATACATGCTCATGTGGGAAGTATCAACTGTAAACAGCTGGCACTATTCATAGTTTCTAGGGTCAGAAGGGACCTGAGCAGATCATTGAGTCTGACCCCCTGCCATGGCAGGAAAGATTACTGGGGTCAAACGACCCCAGCCAGGTGTTCATCCAGTCTCCTTTTAAAGACCCCCAGGGTAGGAGCCAGCACCACTTCTGTTGAAAGTTGGTTCCAGATCCTTGCTGCCATGACAGTGAAGTAGCGCCTCCTGATGCCTAGTCTGAATCTACCCTCTGCCAGCTTGTGACCATTATTTCTTGTCACTCCTGGGAGTGCTCAGGGGAACAGGGACTCTCCCATTGCCTGCTGGTCCCCCCTGACTAGTTTGTAAATGGCCACTAGATTCCCCCTCAGCCTTCTCTTGTGGAGGCTGAACAGGTTCAGGTACCTTAGTCTCTCCTCGTAGGGCCTGCCCTGCTGACCTCTGATCATGCGAGTGGCCCTCCTCTGGACCCTCTCCATGTTGTCCACATCCCTCTTCAAGACCAGGGTTGCACTTTTTTCATTTGGATCAAAATTCTCAGAGTTTGTGGATGAAACTTCCTTGCAAGCTTGAGGAAATCAGTAGTGTGACATGGACTGTACAATAGCACCAAAACCACCTCTCCTTCTGTAGGAACCAGCAGCACACTTACACAATGGGGAACTCCCTACTTGAGAGCACGGAGGCAGAAAGATCTTGGAGTCATTATTGACTCCAAGATGAACATGGGCCGACAATGCGAGGCCATGGTTGGCAGGGCTAACCGGACCTTATTGTGCATCCACAGG